ACACACACACACACACACACACACACACACACACACACACCAACTTAATATGGTTACCCCTAGGATTATATGACCGTCTAGGGTTACCCCCAACCTCCCACAGAAATTCTGCTACTTTTGTAGACACCATCACCGGCACTCACAACTGCATTATAAGGTCATATGAGCGCCAGAAGATTAGAGGTGTTACAAGAGAGTAACAAACATAAAAAAGAAAAAGGGGAAATAAGGACGATAGATGTTTGATAGGAAAGAAGGAGCAAACCACACCAGAGCACCGGCCAACCACCCACGTTCTTGAACTGAACACAAAATGATCATATATGATGCAGACAGATAAACTTAACCCAAACTGAGCATGTGATACTACTGTTGTCTTTAAAGAACTTGTTATTCGTCCTTACATTTTGTACAATACACCTGTTCTCTTTTAAGAGTTGATTGCATGATTTACAACCCTGGTCACCTTGTCAGTCAGTAAACTGAACATAATACTCAAATTCACTAAAAGTAAATGAATTGTTTTAGTTTTAGTACGAGTTTTAGTTTGGTTTTAAGTTCTATGGCGCTCACAACTGCATAAAAGAGGTTTTACGGCACTTGCAACACAATTAGGTCACATGAGTGCCAAAAACTGCAGGTGTTACCAGATAGTAACAACATACAAAATGAAAAGAAAGAGGAAAGATTTATTACAAGGGTATGTTTGATATAAATATATATATATGAAAAAAAGGAAAAAACTACATCAGAGCACCCGCCAGCCATCCATGATTCGAATTTTTTATATTCTCGAAAAATCTTTGGTCTGATCTATCCCCATATCATGTAAAGGAGTGGCGAAACTTGCACCACATTGCAACAATTATCTTTTTCCAAGGATGTAAAATAGCAACTCCAAGAGGGCAATTTTCAAACTTTTTGTTCGTTTTAGTTAGTGTTTACGGTATTTGCAACACAATATGGTCATATATATATATATACATCATGTAATTGTCGAAGATTAAAGGCATTACAAAAGAGTAACAAACACAAAAAAAGGAGAGATGACGATGTTTCATAGGATAGAACGAGCAGACAACACCAGAGCATCCGCCAATCATAATATAGAATCTATAACATATACATGTATATATATATATATATATATATATAAATATATATATATATATATATATATATATATATATATATATATATATATATATATATGATACAGTAGAGTCCACTTAAAACGAAATGGTTAATTCAAAAAGTAAACAGAAAAAAAATAAAATCCCTATTTGTTTTCAGACTACTTCAGTAACCTCTCTAAACCACAAACTCAGATAGACCGAAGAAAATCTGGCGGTCCTGCAAGTTTTGGCTTTTATGCAATCTCTGCTGTACATATAGAAATTTTTCTTTCTTTTTTGCATTTTATTCTTCTTGTGTCGTATGATTTTCTTTAACAAAACTAAATACCCTTCTAGCCCTTCCTTCACATTCAGGTTTTGCAATAAAAAAGTACAGTGGTGTCATCAGAGAAAAAAAACTTCTAGTACAGAGAACAAAGCATGCGCATCATGCACAATCCACAGTTTCGATAGAAGAGAAGTATAACTTTTATACTGAAAATTATAAATTTCTAACAGAACATGCATGCATGAATCTGATCACACTTTTTATTACAAATGTGCGCAAAACTCCAATACTAATAGATTTCTATGTCCAGGCAGCTTTCAACACTTGGAAACATAAAATTTATATTTTCTTACTACTATTACTATGACTATGGGGGAAAAAATTGCCTCTTTCTATTATAGAACAGTTAAATTTTATTTATGTTAAAACAGAATCTGAGCCAAAATGAAATCAATAGAGTTATAAGGCAAAAGGAGGCCAAAAATCATTCAATAAATTATTATAACTTTATAAGGCACAGTGAGGGATAGAGTAAATTGATGAAATAATGGTAGTATTATATTGCAAACAGTGAAACAAATAAATGCGTATTTGTTTACACATAGATCTACATATAGGTTGAAGAACTCTTCTTTTTGCTCAGAAAATAACATTGAATAAAAAATAACTGTGTTACAAAAATTTTAAGAGAAAAGAACCCATGATGTTCAACAGTACTTAGCCTTCTATCCCCTCCAGATCTCAGGACCACATTATAAATTCGTTTTGCCCCTGTCAAAAAGTGTAGATTTAGCGATAATAGCTCTGGACCAGAACATATCGAAGGCATCTGTTATATTTCGGACTGACATACATGATCAGTACGAGATGAAAATAGGGTTGTTGGAACGAAAACAAGGCATTAAAGGTATATATGTCATGTTTGACAATGTGATATTGTGATTTTCTCTCAGTTTGTACCTGATTAATTACTATTCATGGCAGAATTATCAAAGAATTAGTTTTACAAATTTGAAAGTAAATTTATACTCTTCTTGTAAAACATTCGGCTCTCAATCTGTTTCAGAATCATACTAAATAGGGAAGACCCTGTGACTGTGCTGTGGAACTCCTCCCTCCTGTGGCTATGGTATGTGTGTTCAATCAAAATCAATCTGTGTCCCTGCCGTCCGTCCTGCCGTAGGCCTACTCATATTATACCATGTGTATTATTATAATGTAATGTCAATGTGTGTACAACAGTTACATCAAAGCCAAGTAGGCTAAACATTCTTTTTTGCCATTCAACAATTCAGTAACCATTACCAGGGAAAACGGATGGACAACGGTAGATCTAGATTCTTCATCTGCTGTCTAGCAAACGTAAAATCTGCAAGTAGACCGAGAATCTAATAAAATTGCCTAGGCTAGGCCTCGAGCAGGACAACAGTGGGTGTGTCCAAGTTTGTAACCTCACAGAAGACAGACTCGACGCAACCAAAAAAAAAAGAAAAACAGTAGCATTAGGCCTTGTCGACTGTTTAGTCAAACGGCAAAATAGCCCATATTTTTTTTGCCAGGAAGAGTCATTCAATTTCCAAAGAATGTTGCATCTGAGATACAGGGACGATCAGATTCTTCACTCGTATACCAGAAAGCCGTTAAGTCGCTACGATAAAATTAACGGTTATCTTCCGAGCAATCAGAGAGGGCCCGAATGAGGAACTCAAGACAGAGGAAAGTGGGTCACGAATTCCGGCCGGTTTTGCAAGCTTTTTAGCTTCGATTATGACTGCCTCCTTCACAGAACAGAACGGAGAACACTAATAAAATTAAAATCGCACACTTACCACAAATGCCAAGGCAGGGACAGGGTAAATTCCGAACCAGTCTCTATCCTCATAATATCACATCCTGCCCTGAGCAGTCGGAAACAACATTCACTCCGTCGTCCTCTCTCACGGTTTAGATGGCGTTACAATCGCTTGCCTGGTTCCGGTCGGTAGGCCAAGTCATGTGACCACAGGTGAGTGCGAGAGAGGGGCTTGACAGGTAAGATCAAAGCTTCACTGGGTGTCACCGGTCGGCAAAGCGGAATAGAAACGTTTGATCGGGAGCAGTGGCCCGCTTGTCAAAATTATAGAACGCGCAGGCCGCAGAGCAAACAGGCTTCAGCTCCCGAGCAATTGTTTCAGTTTCTGGCTTCTGCCACGTCAATACGTTACGCTAAGATCTCGAGCACTCTGTTTTCAAGAGCAGGAAGAAAAACTAACATTCGTCCATAAATATTACCCCACACACGTACACACAACCAGATACAAACACACACTTTTTTCCTCCTTCCAAGAACTTGACTTCGGCGTCAAAAAGATTACTAGTGCGGTCAAAAAGTTCGTGCGGATTCTATGGCTTTTTTCTGATGCTGGTTTGTCAGATGATTATAAAGCCATCATCATCAAATATTGTGGGCCGAGACTGCTGCTACTAAATTATCAACGATTACTAAAATTAATTACTCATGTAGAATCAACAAACGGAATACCAACCCTCCAAAAATAAAACTTACAACTTTTGGTGAAGTAACGTCAAGTGTGACTAACAGAGAGCATCGAATTAGTTTTTAGAGACGTCTGGGGGGCTTACCGGTTTCCACATTTCACGAGTTATTAGTGAACAGTAAAAAGCAACCGATCCATGATCTCCGCTGTCATCATGATGATCACAACAGTCCCGCTCAGCTCTTCTCTCTCTCTCTCTCTCTCTCTCTCTCTCTCTCTCTC